ACGGGACGCAGGCCTCGAGCGATCGCTGCGTTGCAGAGATACGGTGTGGGAGAGGCGCGTGGGATTTGCTGGGGTTTGGGGGTTGATCAGTGCGAACTCACACGGGAAAAGGAGTCCGGGTGCCTCCGGGGCCGGTAGAGGAAGGCCTGAGGGAAAGTGCCCCACCTAAGGAGGCCTCCAGCCATTCACACCAACTCGGCGTGTATCCCACACTAGGTCACACATTCCTGACCTCACGCACACTCCTGTGTCACCGCGACCTCTCTTGCACACACACCCTCACGCACCGACTCACTCACACACGTTCTACAGGCCCCACCTAGAGTGTGTTGGGCCCTGGTGAAGTTGGCTTTTGTCCTTTTAAACAAGGTTCTAGTCCCAGTGAAAGTGATTTCCTGGGTCGGGAAGGCCTACCCCTCTGTGGAACTTGGTGAAAACTCTCAACTCCGTGAGGATCCTCCTCCTCCCATTGTACCCCACGTCGTGGCTCTGGTGAGGAAGGCTGAGATCGTGGGGCCGTAGAGGGATAGGTCCTGTGACCCTGTAGAATGCACAATCGCGCCAGGCCAAAGCGCTTGGAGCACGAGTGTAGTCGAGATTTATATGATAGGCAATATTACTCCTCCGAGGACACTTAGGTAACCTGGGTTTCATTCAGTAATTACTTGACTGATTTATCTGCGCTTCAGGGACGAATAGGCAGCCCCAAACGTGGGCCTTTATGTGGGGCCTACCTGCTTGAGGCCTTGAGGTCTTTAGGAGAGCATCCCGGTTCGCAGCCTCAGGCCTTGCTCTTGTGGCCATATACCCTACCCTGCAGACCTCCCTGTGACTTGCAGGACCCGTAAAGGACAGGACCGTCTAGAAGTGCGTTTTCCCTTGAGGCCTTTTTTTTTTTTTTTTTTTTTTTTTTCCTTCCCTTTCTGTAACTGGGATCAATTCTCCTTAATGACTTTTCCAAACGGAAACTTCCCACGAGATTCTCGTAAAAACAACCAGGCCAGCTAAGGCAGCTGCGTGCTCAACGTTTCCCCCACGCAGCCAGGGCTAAAGGGAACTTCAAAATGCTGTGCAGGAGACTTTGAGCCCTCTCCGCTTTGCCAGGCCTCGGTAAACCAGTGGACCTTACCCTGGAGGCTGCTGGCAGCTGACCAAAGAGAAACTGCCTGACAGATTCTAATCGTGGCTTTTGGGTTCCCGCAGGACAGGCTGCCCTCTGATCCTATCCGTGGCAGCAAGTTGTTGGGGGTGGTGAGGAGGGGACCCGCCGCAGGATTTCATTTCTGGTTCCCCTGTTTCCAAGTAGCAGGGATGGTTACATTTGTTGCTCCCACTCCCAGAGGCTGCATGGACCCTTCCAGGTGGAGCTTGTGGGCCTCCCTCAAGAGGGATGGATGCTGGCCCCACCAATTCAGTTTATAATGAGAGTGCTAGTGTATGGCTGTCCCAATGAGCCGTTGGACATTGTATCGAAAGACCATCTCTCCTTCCTTTTCTCTCTGCCACACTGCCTTCCCTTGTGGGGTTATCTGGGATCCCAGAACAGATGGATCGAAGGACTAATCCCAGGCCACTCCTGCAGGTCTGTTTCCTGACCCACGTGCCCTCAGCTGCATTTATAACCTGTGTCTGTCCGGTGCCTAGAGGGAGTTGGCAAGATCTAGGCAGTATCCGCACAGCTCTTTGCTACAAGCACCAAGTCTCCAAAACTCTGCATAGTTCAATTTTGACATGACCCCGCTGTCAGTGTCTGTAACAGAAACACTGGGGTCACCCAGCCCTTCTGGTTAGGCCTTCCTAGGCCCTAAACAACATGGGATGTGCAATTATGTCTACCTTCTTTTTCTTCCTCTCTCTCTCTCCTGCCACTTACCATAACTTCCCCTATCTCCTTCACTGAGCCCTGTTACTCTTTCTCCAGTGTCATGGAGGAAACAGCAGTATTCAAAACACTCACTCTTCCCAATCCAAGATAACATAGGCTGCTCAGAAAAAAATGGGAATTTTAAAATGTAGTACATTTGCTTGGAATACATAAAACCACTTAAGCCTCTATACTGAAGAGCTGATTATATGTATGTATAAAGTACGTGTATATAAATGTATAACACATAATATATATTTAAAGGATGCTGTCTGTGTTAAACGAGGCTTATCTTGAACTTACAAGATAATACAGAAATCCTGACAAACCCGTGTAGTGATACAAAGGGATTAACTTTGCATTCCACTCCATCTATAGAGAATTTTTAAAGCTTGTGGTTATCATTGTGAGCTATGTATCCTTCCAACAGTGGGTTAATATAGGAGGCACATTTCAAGAATAACTAATTTCATTTTAAATTAGTATTTCCAGTTAAGGAAAGTTATATTTTAGGTATCTAAATACTTTCAGCTGTGTTATTCTCTGCCATTGGAGCAGTTACCATTGACAAAATATGAAAGAAAAAACACCCCATTGAAATATTTGTATGGACAAAAAGATAATTAACCACAGAGATTTATCTACTGTTAGGCCTTTTTAAAAATATTACCCAAAACAAAGAACATTACCCTATGTTCTGTGTCAGAGCAACTGCTGGTTTGTTGTTGTTGTTTTAATCCTCTCAATGGAAAAAAAAGGTAGTATTAAAAAAATGGTATTATGGGATGACTTATTTAGTTTTGGGCCTGAATGCATCAAGCTCATGGAGGGAAACAGTTAGCTGTAATCTAACCTGTTGTCTAACCTTATTTATAAACACCAAAGCGATTTGGCTAAATTTCTCTAGGTACAGCTTACTAAGCAGTCTCACTTCCTGGATATGTGGCCTTGTGTTTAAGGAGTTGTGTTCTTGGGGTTAATGGATAAGTTAAAAGTGGTGATGGGCCAAAGGATATTGGTTTTAAAAACATGGTTTTGCTTATTAAGGAGTGAAGAAAGCTGTCAGGATAGGTAGGGAAGGTTCTGCTGAGGCTGTGTGTTTTCTAGTGTCTGCTCCTCTTACACCTTGGAGTTACAGGGGTAGTGGTTGGAAGGCAGAAGCCAGTGGCCTGACCTCTGCCCAGCCAGCTTTGTAAAATCTCAGGATAAGATTGTGTGCTTCACAGGTATCTCTATTTCTGAAGAGAGGTGTGCTCAGCTTTTCTCCTTTCTTTTCCCACCAGTGAAATCTAGGGAGAGTCTCAATAACATGCCACTGTCATCTTACTGTGCCCCCAAGCTACTGTGAATTAGTATATATGATCGTGTTTGTTTTGCTTGTCCTTTGATTCTATGCCCATTGTTTTGGAAATATGGTGTCATTGGTGTTTATCTTAACAGGGGGAAACTGCCACTTGTACTCTTCTGTGTTCAGACCCTAAGGGAGTGAATGTGTGTGGTGGGGGGTAGCATGGAGGCCATTGGTGTCCCCTCTGGTGCTACAGGAGCTACAAAACATCTGGTCCCTCACAACCCAAGTCCAAGCAAAGCCTCCAGGCCAGTGGGCACAGGCCAACACTTGCATGCCTGGAATGCTACAGTTAGGAATAAAGCTGGGAGTTGCTCTTCAGGGGACGGGGGACCAGAATGCACCCCTAGTTCTATTCTAAGATTTCTTCAAATGAGAGGTCTCTGGGAAGCCATTGTTAACTTTTCCTGTGTTTTGTTACAGGGGAAAAGCCTTTCAAATGTGAATTTGATGGCTGTGACAGGAAGTTTGCCAATAGCAGTGATCGAAAGAAACACTCCCATGTCCATACCAGCGACAAGCCCTACTACTGTAAGATTCGAGGCTGTGACAAATCCTATACTCACCCAAGCTCTCTGAGGAAACACATGAAGATTCACTGCAAGTCTCCCCCACCTTCTCCAGGAGCCCTTGGTTACTCATCAGTGGGGACTCCGGTGGGTGACACTTTGTCCCCTGTGCTGGACCCAACCAGGAGTCGATCCAGCACTCTGTCCCCTCAGGTGACCAACCTCAGTGAGTGGTACGTTTGCCAGGCCAGTGGGGCCCCCAGTCACCTCCACACACCTTCCAGCAATGGAACCACCTCTGAGTCTGAAGACGAGGAAATGTACGGGAACCCTGAAGTTGTGCGGACGATACATTAGAATGATTATTAATAAGTGGTGTAGTAAGTGGGGGTCCTTGGACCATATCCTAACCTGAGACAATGCCGAGCCTGAGACAAACTGGTGACTCAGACTTGCCACCGGGTCTAATTAGCCCTATTTATTCACTATGAAACCCTATGGTGTTTGTATATTTAATTAATTTAATTAAGATATTTGGGTTTGTTTTTTCTCTTTCTCCTAAAAACACAAAAACAAACAAACAAACAAAAAAGAAAACAGGACTGGAGATGTAGCTCAGTGGTAGAGCCCTTGCCTAGCATGCATGAGGCCCTGGGTTCAACCTTTAGCACTGGGGGAAATAAACTTATGGCAAACAAATAAAAAGCAACCAATCTAGACTTGTCCATTGCAGTGTGACAGGCCTGGAGGCAGAGTCTATTGAGGAAAGGTAGTGGAGAATTTGAGATATACACTGCCAATTGTGTGTGTGTGTGTGTGTGTGTGTGTGTGTGTGTGTGTACCTGTGTATATGAGTATATTAAATGGGAGAAAAAAAACATCATTAAGTCAGACCTTAACACATGAACTAGGCCCTCTCCATGTCCCCGAGTGCCTCTCAGATGCCTTTGACACCATAATGAGGGCTGCTTTTGAGACCTAATTCTGCAAAGGCCTCTTGATTGTAAAACACACACTTGCTGCATTGATAACAGATCCTGGACTGTGCCTGTATCCAAAAGTCTTTGTATAAAAAACAAAACAAAAAAAAAACTTTAATTTCTATTATTTATCATTTCAATTCCTATGCTTTTACTACCGATCTCACCGTAACATGGTATTTTTATACAGGACTATTCCTTCAGTATCTTTCCTTGTGTGATTAGAAAAAAAGAAAGAAATGAAACAAAACACCAAGCCAAGTGCAGCCATCCTGATGTATCTCCCTATATCATGCTACTGTGATTGCTCAAGCAGAAACAGAAGAAGAGCTGCTGAGACAGACAACTGGAAACTGTGATCTTTTGTAAACTAGAAGTAATTCCAAGTGCTTTCTTTTTCCTCTGCTGGGCTGTCCTTTTGGGTTTTTTTGGTTTTTTTTTTTTTAATTGGGAATTTCAGGTGCCACCTCTTGTTGCATCCTAACTTGTTGGGTAATGAGGAGTCAAGAGTTATGTTGTGACCATGAGTTTTTTTGGGGGTGTCAGCATGCACCACAGTAGAGGCTGAGGAGTTGTGATGGTGCATCCTGCCTATCTTTTAAAGCTTTTTTTTTTTTTTTTTTAACTAGGCCAACTCTCCTTTTAATACTACTGTATCAACCTTTTTTGTTAAAAAAGGTTATTTTTAATGCATTTCTTTTACTTGCTCCATGAGCACTGAACCCCCCTCCATTTGAAAATGACAGTGTGAAGTATATGATTTACATTACAAGAGGAGGAGTTGCTATACATGTTAAATTTTTTAAAAAGGTTTATAGTTACCACCAAACACTGATGAATGTGTGACCTTTGCCAGAGCTGTCAAGCCAGGATACAAAGGGTCAAGGACCTAGGACAATAACTCTTGGTCAGTTTATATTCAGTTGGGACAACACATCTCCCGTGCAAACTGTAGCTCAGCAGAAACATCACACACATATACTAAAGAGCACTAATTTATCCTCAGAGATCTTGAAGACGCCCCTCTCCCCAGGATTTGTGGAAATCTTGTTTTGTGTGCTGTGAGTGGTTGATGTAGTCTTGTCATTGTTAATAAGTGTCTGTGAATAACTTTTATCTGTACAGTTTTTTTAATTAATTTATTTTTAGAGAGCCTTTTCTGTTTCTGGAAGAGTTCAAAGCACACCAAAGAAATATATTATACATTTTGGTGAAAGATTGTCATTTATGATCCATGATTTATTTAAGAAAAAAAAAAAAGAAAAGGAAAGGGGGAAGATATAAAATATATTTTTAAGCTTACTTGAATGGACAAGGTAATGTGAACACCCGAAACTCTTCCTGCATGTCTTTTTGCCTCGTGTTGATAAGATTATAGTTTATAGCTAAATTACTAGAACAATGCATGGTGCTGTTATGTGGACACCTTTCAGTATTGTCTTCAAATTGTTACAGTAAATGTGACACATGCAGACCCTCCTTTATAAAGAAAGACCCACAACTTGAATATAAAATAATTCTACATTTTAAAGGTTTATTTGATTTTTTTTCCCCTGTTATTCACTTTCAAAGTCCTTTCAAACAGAAAAGATAAGGAATGAACTTGGGTGGGATAAATTATGTACTGTAAATTTGTTAGGACAAAATATTCCTGATATATGAGTTGTTTTATTTATACAGCTTTTTTTCAATGGTAGTTTGCACTATTCTTTATCATGCTACAGGTTTATTTATTATGGAAACAAAGGAATATGTATTTTATGTATTTTTGCCATGCATAGGTTAACTGCCACAGATTTATTGGTTCCTGATGCACCGAAAATAAAACCTTAAAGTGTGTACCTCCATTAGAAAGAAAGCAAGAACGGTGATGGAATGACAAATGTAATAAAGGTATTCTTCCTATGTATTGCTACATCTTACCCAATGGCATATTTGTCATTCTTTTAAAGCAGAACAGTTGCTATGGTAGTGAACATTAGATTGCACTTCCCTGATCTCTTATCAGCTCCTGAATGGGGGTGGGAGGAGAGTTTGGCTTACTTACAGTTTAATCTACAGCAGTGGTTCTCAACCTTCCTAATGATGAGACCCTTAGATACAGTTCCTCATGTTGTGTGTTGTGGTGATTCCCCCCAACCATAAATTATTTTCATTGATACTTAATAACTACAGTTTTGCTACCATTATGAATCATATGTAAATATCTGTTTTCCATTGGTTTTCAAAACCCCTGTGAAAGGGTTGTTTAACCCCAAAGCGGTCACAACACACAGGTTGAGAACCACTGATCTAGAAATCCCTAGAAATTTATGAAAACAAATCCCTGCAGGTTACAAGTACAGTTGGACAAATCTCAGTACCAGTTCCTTGTTAAAATTAGTAATGAGCTTAGTAACTCTAACCACTGAAAGAAGTGAAGTTGAGCACTTCTTGGTGCATAGCCTCCACTCTAAAAGGGGAAAAGAAAAAAGACAAAATAATTTCGATGATAATAATAATAAAAAGATGACAGTAAGAAACTTTCAGGTAAGAGGTAGGTGACAGCAAAATTGCTCAGGAATGATTTATAATTATGGAATGAAATTGATTAGTGGGTACCAAATCAGCTCATAACATGTCATGGGGCAAGGTTGGGGGAAGATCAAGTTACAATTTTAGTTTATTTTGGAGGGTATAACTTACCCTCAGCATTTTGGGGCAGGTGTTCAGCAATTCTTTCATGGCAACAAAAATATTCCAGTGGCTCAAATTGATATGTTTGGCAATGCATGTTAGCAAGCCTGGCTGTTTATTTTTTTGTGTGTGTTCAACACTGCAAAACAGATAAAAGGCAAGTATTTAAAAAACAATTGGTAGTCACATCAATAAGCATTTCTCCAAAAAGGTTATAGTGGCTTTTCAAAGTCAGGTCTGTTAAATGTAGTCAAGGTGAAACAGGTTGCCAAGAGTTGTTTTAAGCCGGGTGACAATAACCAGCACACGAAGGAGAAAAACACTCATAAATGAGGACTGCAATCAATGGGGAAACTTACAGCTCTCTAATGAAGTTTCTTGTGAAAAGAAGGTTGACACAAAGCCACCAAGACATGAATCATTCATGGGAAATATAAAAGATAAAAGATATCTGACAGTGAGCAGAGCCTTGTGTAGAGTGTATAAAACAAGTTACCCTTCTTATTTTCTGCTTTAAAACGCACAGTCCCCCCAGTCCCAGCATCTTCTGTCCAGCCTATAGAGTTAAAATTGACCACTGCTCGTCCTGAGCCACTTCAAAGTAATTTAGTCCAGAACGGAAGGCTTGGCGCTTGGACAATCTTCATGGTGTGTTAAGATTTCTATGGCAATTGGCAAGCAAGACGTTCCCATCTGAATATGTCTCAAAGAAAGCCACTTATTGACACTAAGTTGGCTATCATCAAAGACTTCATCTTCCCTGCAAAAAAAAACAAAAAAACAAAAAACAAAAAAAAAAAAACGTGGCCTTTGCAAACATTAAATCGGCCACCTTTGTTTTCCAGGCCAGGAGGCTCTTCAAACACACAGTTCTTCCTCATTTGTATATTTCTCCTATTCAAATACTCTTTAGTAAAATGAACGCTAGGAACGTCTAAGGTGCTTGGAAAGAGCACAGGGTGGGAATTAGATTCTCTTGAGTTGGAGGTGGTCACACAAGTGCCCTGGTACTGGGGCCTGAGAGCCTTGTGAGCTGGGTCCAACAGTCTGCCCACTGAATATTTAGATTACTGTCTCATAATTGATATATTTCATTTTGTGGGAGCTTTTTGGAGACTTGTGCTTTTCCCAGTCATCTCCATCTGTGCTGGGACTTGAGGGCCACCACAATGCTGAGGCTCCAGTTTGGTTAGGAACTACAACCTCAGAGGAGGGGCAGGAAAGATTATTGCATTTCCCAAGTGGTCACCTTAAATCAGACAAAACAACCCACAGACTTTAGAATCTGTCCATCTGCCAGTGGTTTTACACAGACACCACCCCCAACCTCAGGAACGTTCCAGGTCTGGAAAGATGGAGGAGAAAACCACAGAGAAAGCACCCCGGGGTGACCAGCACACTTCCCCTCCCTGTGAACAAAACCTCTTAGAGACCTCACGCCCACGCAAGAACATCCCAGAGCACGCATTCACACACCACCTAAGTGCCTAATCAAGCGGGGAGAAGTTCAAAGGCGTGATCTTTGAAATTCAAACTAGTGTTTTTATGGTACATCCACACAGAGACTCAAAAATTGCTAAGGCAATGGCCAGGGCCAGGAGAGTCGCTGGCAGGCCGTCCACAGCAATTTGAGACACTCTATTAAGATACAGTTGCAGTGACCCTTACTTTCATGGCCAGTTAGTTCAGTCAATTCTCACCTCATCAGAAACACAGACACAGAGATTATAAATATATGATATATATGTGCATATCATATGTATTAGCTTCTTGTTAGTGATGATTCCCCTGTAGAACCTCCTAGCTTGAAAGAAAGGAGAAAGAATGGAGAGAGGAGAGAAAGCGCAGTGGGGGTGGGGGCAGTGATGTCACGGGGTAGGGGGAGAGAGACTGGGGCCCCTGGATCCCCAGTACCTCTTCTCTCCCCACCTAAGCACTTTTATTTGCAGAGCGATTGTTCTTTGTTTATTTAATACAAGTACTGTGTGAATAGTGAAAAATAAACACGATGAAAAATAACCAAACAGATGATTCCTCGGAGTGAAAAAGCCCGGACTTAATAAAAGTGCGAAGCAGTCACCGCTCAATGAGAAACGCTTTGAAGTGGAACTTATTCTAAGAGGGATACTTCAGGGTTGCCTTAACGACGCCGCTGAATCGAAAGCGCTCGCCTTTGTCAGCGATTTGTTCTCCTTTGCTGGGGTGCCCGGAGAAATTACTTACACGGGCTGCCTTAACATGCGGCCTGCAAATCAGTAACTTTGCAGCTCAGACTTGCAGACGCCACTGGGCCACCGACAAAAAGAAGTCAGAGGGAAACGCACCAACCTTTCAGGCCGAGGCTCTGGGGATGGGGCTCACCGGCGTTGGGGCGGCAGATAAGAAGTTGTATTACAACCAGGCCCCCTCACCCGAGCTCCCACTCTAGCTCCCTGTCCCTCACCCGGAGCAGGTCCTGGGGCCTGTGTCCCTAGGTGATCCAGACTCCTACGGCTCCCAGGCCCTCCAGCGAGGGGCGCTCTGGGGCACGCAGGCCTCGCGCTGTATTTTCCCAGCAGTCCGGGCCATATTTAATAAGGGTCGTTTATCACTCAGGCTCTTTGAAGGGTCGCCTCCAGCCCTGTGCCCATTAGAAAGGCGGAGGTGACATTTAAACTCCGTTTTCAAGGATCGCGGGGGGATTTCATTGAAAAGGCAACTCGTTTGTCTTAGGAGCCTGGAAACAACCCCCTTCTCCCTCCTTTTGACCACATGGCATAACTCAAAAACAATAGTTCAAAAGTGAAATGGCATCGTGGTGTTCACTGGGAGACAGGCCCCCATCTAGCACCAGAGAAAGGGGGAGCCCTCAAGACAATGTGCTTTTTGTGTCCAACTCTGTCACGAGGACTGTGCTGTTTGCTTTGGAGGCTGCGCCTGTTATACTGGCCTGAAAGTGCTTGTGTTAAACAAGAGTTATGAGTCATCCAAAACAACAAACATTTTGATTTTCTTTGCCTAAAGGGCTTTCCCTGGCCATGGGCACCGTGAAAAAATAATGTCCTTGCTGAGAAAGGAACACCAGTAGTTGCATTACAAGCGGGCGCATTAAATGTTGAATGACACGGGAAGGGGCTTGTCGGAGGGCACTCAGCCTTAAAGTCTTCCTTCAACTTTGTCTTCCGTGGCTGCTGAACTATTTAAGATGGTATTAATTAAGGCAGCTTCGGATGCTGTGGAGCCGCCCGGCCCCTGGGCCACGCTCTGTCAATGGGCCTGTGTCCCCACTCTCTGCTTATGGGTTGGCTGAAATGTCACTTCTCATTTGCAGGCTGAAGAGAAGCGACCATCCTACACGGAGGGCGTCGGGAATGCAGTCAGCAGCTGTGGTTAAAAGAGTTTGAGGGACTGGGGTGAAGGGAGGGGAGACTGGGGACAAAATCCAAACAGCTCTTAGGAAGGGGGAGGAGGGTGAACGCCTTGCCCTCTTTGGGCACAAGAGACACTTGGGTCTCTCAGGGTTTGGATACCCCCTCTTTTTAATCCTTCCTGTGTGGGGGAAATTAAAACACCAGCCTTGCAAAAATCCATTAACCAGTCTGGCTCCTACAAAGAAAAGACAAAAGCTTGGTGCAAACAGACTTAACTAAGGCTCCCTGCTCCCTCTAGGTCTCCTTCACAGGTCACAAACAAATAAAGGCCCCAGGACCCCAACCAAGGATCTACAGGTGGAGAAACTGAGGCCTCTAGAAAGACTGCAGAATCATTTCCATTAGTATTCGCTGAGGAAGGAAGACTGAGACCATCACTGAGACCCAAGGCCAAAACAGAAGCCAACTTCTGTTTAAGGTGGGCCCACGCCCAAACCCAAATAGAAATTTATTCCAGCTTTTGGAAAGTTCTAGAAAGAAGAGAAGGGGGAAAAAAAACAAAACAAGAAAAGAAGCCTACGGCCAAGTAACTGTGGTATAGATGAATTCATGTTTCAAGAACAGGTTGAGTATGGTTTCTCAATGAAAAGAGACAAGAGTTGACTGGCTGGAGAAGCCAGTGCATGCTGGCAGGTTGATTTCTACAGCCTGAAGTCCCGTCCCGTCACCCACCCCGTGCCCCCATGCCCCCTTCGTCATCCCTGTCCCCTCCACCCCTGTCTCAGGGTGTGGAGTTCCAGCTGGGTTGTGCCTTCCCTTACAAGGCAAGGCCCCTGGCAGGTGGAGGGGTGCAGTTAACCTTTCCTCTCTGGGCCTGAGTGATTTGGACTATTGCTGTCTGTCCAGAGGGGTTTATTTAGTGCCCTTAACTGTAGATCTATTTGCAACGTTTTATTTTTTCCATCTTGGATGAGTTCCCTCCATCCACCCCAAGGGCTCTCTGTCTGAAGTTTTGGATAAGGAAGCGTCATATTTCCCACCAAGAGCACATGCTGTAAAACCAGAAGGAGCCTGTGCC